AGAGGAATCAAAAATAGTAGAAGGGAATTTTCTTACTCAGCTCTATTTGCCATTATTTGGCTTTGTGCTGAATGTGGCTGATGTTTAAGGCTGATATTGTCTTGAGCACTCTTTTGGGGGGTACCCCCTCTGTGGGATCTCTGGAGCTGTGTTGATGCCTCTTTTTCTGCTGGCAACTCCCACTTTAGAGGATCCACCCCCACACACCGTGGAGTCCCATTGCCCCTTCTAGGAGGTCCTCTCTGGTAGATCCTAACACAGCCTCAGGATCGCTGGTCCTCTGTTGTGCCCTACATTGAGGGAACATGCCTTGTCCTTCCACTGCAGGGACTTGAGGTGGTGGGAATTTCCCAGACATAGCAGCTACTTGCTTTGGCTCCATCGTCCTCAACACAACTGGCCAGCTTCTCTCTTACTCTGCAGATTTTCTGGGGCAGAAATCAGCTCTCGGCTCACTGTCTTTCAAACTTCAGGTGACACATATTAGGCTCTCAGAATGGCTGTGCTGAAGGCCCTCAAAACTTGAGGGAGGCTCAGGTGTCCCCTCACCCCTTATCTTCTCTCGAGATACAGGACTTTCAGGCTTACAGCAAAAACTTCTCCACAAAACCCTTCTCGCTAGAATCTTTCTTTTTTCTTCTTACTCTCCAAAAAAACCTTTTATATTCTTGAAGAGAGAAAGAAGTCCTTGGATAAATGGCCTTAAATGTTGAAACCAAACCCAAACATCAGGGTTCGTTTTGTTTTAGATTCCTCTTAACAGTGTTCTGTCTCATGCACACATGGGTACCTGAGAGCCACAATATCAGACCCTCCGGAGACACTGAGGTGAGAAGTGTTCTACTTTAACATTAGGTTATGTTCACTTAACAAACTATGTAGGTATTCCATAAAGCAGCTTCAATTCTCCTTGCTTAATATTCTTGCCCTTTTAAAGCCGGATGTTGAAAGAACTTCCAAAGTAACCAGACAAATTGGTAAATATCATTTGCAGTCTTGAGCGATTGTGACTGTCGCCGGATCACCAGAAGTAGTTATGCATTGTGTAGGAGCTTACGCAATTTGGCAGAGGCTCTCTTTAAGAAAAAGAATGCAAAGTTAGGAATAAAAAATTGGTGTGTAGGAAAATAGAAAAAAAAAACCCAAAATTAAAAAAGAAATAAAAAGTAAAACAAAAAAAAGATTAAAAATTGGGTATGTAAACAGCTATTTACTTGAAATGAGAAAAATTCACGTTACTAATTTTAAAATGCTGATCCTTTTGTAGTTCATAAATGTGATGATGGTTGGGTTCTCATGTGTGAGGGGTGTGAGACATGCTTCCCTCAAACCCTGTGACAACATCCGCACATACCCTGTCTGTCATAAAGAAAAAGATTAAAAAAGAATAAAATGTTGACAAATATACCACAAACATCAAAAGTCCAGGAAAAATTATATAATGCTTTTATTAATGAATTAATTACCTTACACATATCTTTATAATTCTTTTGAAATTTAATATGATCAATAATTCTGAATAAATACACAAAGCTATCTGAAATTAAGGCATGTAGCGGAGTAAGTAAAATAAAATTTAAATATCATTGTATTAAGCTACTTATGATCATTCTTACACTACATACATGTACTTATTTTATAAATATGTGTGGTGATTTTATCATTAGATTGTTTCTTTAGGTTGCTGTCCACCATTGATGAATCCTTTTTCATTCTGTTTTGTCTAAAGCTGCTGTTTGTCTTCAGGATGTGATGTGATCCAACATGTTGGGATGTGTAAAATACATGCCTAAGCAAACAGACACAGTCATTGTGAACCTGGCACTGGTTTGTGTCCTGCAATCACAGGATTTCTGATAAAATTGATTTTGTGTGATTTACCTCAAAAATAAAAACTACTGGGTTTATAATTGGGCTTATAATTGCATACACTGCTTATCATGTATATTTCTGACAGGACATAACTTCCATTTTGACCAGGCGTCTTTGAGAATTAAATCCTCTGCTCAGATTTTTACATAACTGATGATTGGCAGAATTTTCCACAGGCTGGCTTCTGGCGTCATACTTTTGATAACTTTTTCTATGTGATTACCTACAGACTTCCAATGCCAAGTGCAATAAGTTACAGTCAAATCACAATGCGACCTCCAGCATTGCACTTGTCTGTCAGATATTGGTTGAGTCAGCAAAGGAGCATTGGAAATACTGCTGGAAGCCATTCCTGCACCACAATAGCCAACAATAACTTAGATATGGAAGTGAACCACATAAAAATAACCTTTCTTAACCCAAACTCTATGTCTCTTCAACTCAGCTTCCCCTTAGCTGAATCCAGTCACCCCTTGCCTCTTTAAGACCACCCTTGGCTAGGCGCAGTGACTCATGCCTATAATTCCAGCACTTTGGGAGGCCGAGGCAGGCAGATCACCACAGGTCAGGAGTTCAAAAACAGCCTGGCCAACATGGGGAAACCCTGTCTCTACTAAAAAAAAAAAAAAATAGCTAGGCATGGTTGTGCATGCCTGTAATCCCAGCTACTCGGGAGGCTGAGGCAGGAGAACCACTTGAACCCTGGAGGCAGAGGTTGCCGTGAGCCAAGATCATTTCACTGCACTCCAGCCTGGGTGACAGAGCAAGACTCTGTCTCCAAAACAAACAAAAACACCACCCTACAGAAGAGCAAGTGTAACAGAGGGTAAGCTGGAGAAGAAAGAGACAGAAGTCTTAACCAATTGTAGTTAATGTATCTCACAAGTTTTACAAAAGCATATGACTATGGGAACAGATTGCTTGGGCCCCAAGCATGAAAAGGGCTTACGAGGCCAGGCACAGTGGCTCACGCCTGTAATCCCAGCACTTTGGGAGACGGAGGCACGTGGATCCAGAGGTCAAGAGATGGAGTCCCTCCTGGCCAACATGGTGAAACCCCATCTCTACTAAGAGTACAAAAATTAGCTGAGTGTGGTGGTGCATGCCTGTAGTCCCAGCTACTCAGGAGGCTGAAGCAGAAGAATTGCTTGAACCCGAGAGGTGGAGGTTGCAGTGAGCTGAGATCGCACCACTGCACTCCTGCCTGGGCGACAAAGTGAGACTCCTTCTCAAAAAAAAAAAAAAAAAAAAAGGATTTATGCAAGGGAAGGATCCTAGAACTTCATTAAACTTCATAGTAATTTGCCTTCTCAACCAGGACTGAGCCCTGCTCACCTGTTCACAGTGTATTTACATTTATAGAATTGGCACACTGGTGTGCTTATGGGTAAATGTAGGTTAAGACATGTTACTGTCAGAGTTTAGCAGTTGGTCAATCTGCAACAGGAGACAGCAACTGTGTAGAATTTCCCTGAGTTTTAAATGTCTGTCTTAGCCCTGAAGGCCTTTGGAAAGTTATTGGTCTTATTAGTGAGTTCATATACCATTGAAAGATGTTTGAATAGAAAATGACATTTTAGTAAACTTGTAAGGAGGAGACTCACCAAAGGACCATGAAGACACTGGGAAAATTAAAGAGAGCACGGTAAGATGTCTTACCAGTTTATGATTATCTTTTGTACACTAGTACTTTATAAGGGAACAGTCACAGTTAGAAATGATTTCAGCTGCAAGTAACAGAATAATTAGCTAATAGTGGCTTAAATAATAAAGATAATTAACTTAGAACAAAAAGTCTGAAGGTAGGTGACTGATAATTCTGCTATTTTAGGGCTCTGTGTCCTTACCTTTATGATTCTCAAGGAAGATATATGGTTGTCGCAGCTCTGGGCATCATTTGTGCAAAGGCAGAAAACAGGAGGCAGCTACAGACTGTGTGTCTATCTTCTTTTTATTAAAGAGGAGAAATCTTTCCTAAGTAATTTCCTATCAGAATTGCTCTTTAAATCTCATTGGCCAAAACTGGGCACATGGGCTCCCCTAGCTACAAGGAGGAGCTGGGAAAGTGAGTATCTGGCAAAGGCGCATGAGAGTTTCTTGATTGGCTTAGCCTAATTTCTTGATTGGCTTAGCCTAATACATTTTGTTGGATTTGCAATTTGTTGAATTTACATGCAAGAGTAAAATAAGGTATTTTTAGCTTTAGTGGATACTCTCTAAAAGATTTCCAAAGTACTTGTACCAAATTACACTCGTACCAGCAAATTATGAGAGATTAATTTGCCAATGATTGGCTTCATTATATATAATATATATATAATATATTATATATATTATAAATATATATTAATAATTACATATATATTATATATATATAATTTTATTTATTTATTGAAATGGAATCTCCCTCTGTCGCCAGGCTGGAGTGGACTGGCACGATCTCAGCTCACTGTAACCTCTGCTCACTGCAACCTCTGCCTCCTGGGTTCAAGTGATTCTCCTGCCTCCTCCTCCCAAGTAGGGTGTGCCTGGAACTACAGGCACATGCCACCATGCTCAGCTAATTTTTGTATTTTTAGTAGAGATGGGGTTTCACCATGTTGGCCAGGATGGTCTTGATCTATTGACCTCATGATCTGCCCGCCTCAGACTCCCAAAGTGCTGGGATTACAGGCGTAAGCCACTGTGCCCAGCCCATTATATATTATTTTAGAAGGTGGTAAGGAATGTGGTATATGCTATGGAAAAGAAGTAGGGCAAGATAAAGGGGATTGGAAGTACTCAGGGAAAATAGAGCAGTTTGAAATTTTAGATACGTGATCAGGATTGATTTTTATTTGTTTTTTTGAGACAGGGTCTTGCTCTGTTGCTGGAGTGCAGTGGCATGATCATGGCTCACACTGCCGCCTCAACCTCCTAGGCTCAAATGATCCTCCTGCCTCCCAAGTAGCTGGGACTACAGGTGTGTGCCACTAGTTCTCTACAAAAAAACATATTTTGTATTATTTGTAGAGATGAGGGTTTGCGGTGTTGCCCAGGCTGGTCTGGAGCTCCTGCTGCCTTCACCTCTGAAAGTGCTGAGATTACAGGTATCAGCTGCCATGCCTGACTGGCTTTTTTTTTTTTTTAAGGTGACGACCGAGCAAAGTCATGGAAAAGTAAGGGAAAGAGCTGCGCAGGTATGTGAGGAAAAGATTCTAGGTGAACGGAAAGCCAACACGAAGGCCATCAATAAATTGCTGGTGTGTTCCAGCAAATGCAGTTGGTCACTGTGGAAGAAATGGCGTGAACAAGGGAGAAAGCAATGGGAAATAGTACGAGGAGAAAAAGCCAGATTACGTAGAGCCTCCAGGACATGGTAAGTGCTTTGGCTTTTCCACCGAGTGAAACGGGGGCTGCAATAGGGGTTTGAGCAGATGAGTGACATAATCTGACTTACATTTTAAAAGATCATAACTGTGGGCGGGAGCAGGAAGGTGAATTAATCTATTGCAGGAGGTGACAGTGGCTTTGACCAAGGTGGTGATAGTGGACGCTCCAGGCAAACGGTGTCAAAAGCCAAGGTGCAGACATGGGAATTTCAGTGCAAGGCCCGTATCAGAACTATGAGCAAGCCATTTGTTTTCCTAACCCGGGAGGGAAAATGACAGCTGCCATTCATTGATGATTCACTATGTGGCAAGCATTGTGCTAAATTTGATATTCAGGCGACCTCGTTTAGTCTCCATAACAACCTTGTAAAGAAATTTAGAATTGAGAGCCTTTCATACAGTTACCTGCCTAAAACCTAGCCCACCTGGCATTGTAACCCAGGCGGTCTGATTCCAGCCCTTCATTCTAGGCCAGCACTAAGGCTAGAAGGGAAACTTGAGGCCAGGTTGTGGAGGGCCAAGAGGTTTTGCCTGCTTTGAAATTTACCTTCTGGATCGTTCCCCCGCGTCCCCACATTTGAGCGACAGGACACCTCCGGAACTGCAGCTCAGCAACAGGGGTTCAGCGCGAGCGCAGGGAGGGTCGTCGCCTCCTCCGGCGGGCGTGTCGGGAGAAACGCCGCCCGCCTGGTCCCCGGTGGCTGGCGGTGCGCCTCTGCAGGAAGGGCGTGTCTCTCCGCTGGAGGATCCTCCCTGCAGATTAACAGGAGGCTCAGCAGGGCCTTAATTAGAGATCGCAGAGGATCGACAACGAGTGTCCTGCAGCGAGGTGCCTGGATTCCACACAGAAGCTGGAGGCAGAGTCCAGCTAACAGACCACGGCAGCTCGACGGAGCCAGAGCTGGGCAACTGGGAGAGATGTCGGGGAGGGAAAGGGGATGGGACTTGGGGACTGAACGACTCTCTTCCTGTGCCTCCTCCCTGCGTCCTCGGGAGGAGCTGACTGGCGGCTGCACAGCTCGCGAGCCCTCAGAGCTGCCGTGCAGCACCGTGGCCGCGAGGGGGCAGGCCCGCCTCATCCGGAGCCCCGGCCACTGCTCACTCCATGGAGGGCGGAGCTGCTGCTTAAATTCCAAGTCAGGCCAGCCCTGGAACGCTTCCTGGGAGCTTGGATTTAGAACAGTTGATCTCCATTGAGACGGAAATTTGGACGGTCACCCACTTGATTGAAAACGGCTAGAAACAGGGTTTACGGTATTGCAATGAATGCAGAGTGCAGGCGCCGGTGCCCAGGCGGCCCGGGGAACAGGAGGGCCGGAGGAGGAAACAGCTGCGTGCAAGACACCAGCAGCGGCCCTTAACGGGTGCTGGGCGGGGGGACTGTGCTTTCCGAAACTCCCAGCGTCCTTTCCCTGTTTGCCCAGGGCCATTCCATTACACCGTTTGTTACGTTTTTCCGAGTCCCAGGTCTGAAATGGAAAGGGGTGTTACCCTAGATGCCCTGAGAGAGCGGGGCCACAGAGACCTCGCACAGGATAGCAGCGGAGCAGGTGTGTGTGCGTGTGCACGCGTGCATGCTGTGAGAGTGCGCTGTGTGTAACATGCTTCCGTGTTTCTGTATGCCTGTTCTGCAGGGGGAATGTTAATGTTTGTTGCTGGGCTTCAGCCCAAAAGAGAAACAAATAATGAGGTGAACGGAAATGAACTGGAGTCTGCCTTAACAGCTAATTAGCCCCGGTCGAATGGACGAAGAGGACACGCAATAGACACAAGCGAGCAACGGATGAGAAACTCAGGGACCTAGGCTAGGGAAAGGGCGTCGGGCGGGGAGTGTGTGTGGGCAGGGCTAGGAAGGCAATCAGAACCCGGGTGCCTGATCAGGCCAACAGGTCATTCCCACCCTTCTATGAAAATCTGCTTGGCTGGCATCTCTTACGGGCCGGCCTTCATCTTACTAAAGGCCATGACACTTTTTGAAGGGTTAACAGTTACCTTCTTCACCTTCCCCGGGCAGTTCTTTCTTCTCTTTGTCAGGATGGCCCCTGTCCCTATTTCTCAGAGCCCTGGTCACAGCCCTCTTACTCACTAGCTGCTCAGACAAACCCAGTCTTGACCTGACTCTGCACTTCAGCATGTTGCCTGCTGCTCCTTAGGCTCTTCTCTTGGTCCCTGTGAAAGGTCAGATGCAGAAAGGTGAAGGCAGAAACAGACTGCTTGATGACAGGGTGAGGAAGAGCTCCTGCTTCATATCCTGTGTGTCTACTGATGTGCAAGCCAGTGGGAAAGGTGGTGGGAGAAAGTAATGTCAGAGACTGCTGCCGCAGGCCCTTCACCCGTCAGCAATGCCAGGGGTCCCTGTCTGTGGGACCCCCACAGGCCCAACTCACATGGACTCCAGAGACACCAGTTCAGCTCGAGAATGTGTCCCCCAAGTTGCCAAAGTATGTGTCCTACCCTCAGAGAACCTGGTCTCCCCAGGGCTTTCATAGCCTTTGTGAACACAAGGCCCGGAGTGCATGCTTCTCGAGCATGAATATGAGAATTCTTCACATAGAGCAAGTTCTCCTGATACTTGTATTCTCGAGTGTGTGTATGTGAGAGGGAACTTCATTTCTTTAACACCCTAATAAATCTAAAGAATGGTTGCTTCTTAGAAATTGTTACCCACAACACTTCTGGATTGTTGCTAGTCTTTCTTCTTCTTCTTCTTTTTTTTTTTCATTTGCCCCTTTAGGGCACAACCGTCCCAGCCCAGGTTTTCTTTCTAATGCTGCTTTTCCTTTTTTGTTTGTTTGTTTGAGATGGACTCTCACTCTGTTGCCCAGGCTTGAGTGCTGTGGTACGATCTCAGCTCACTGCAACGT